TTATTCAATTATTACTATAAATAATGTCTGGAAAAATCAGAATTTAATGCATTAAATCTAAAAAACATTCAAAATCATAACATATAATATTTATCACTCTCAACATTCACTTTCATAGAACAATATATTCCAGAAATATAGAGACATCACAAAGCAAATTTCCTGATTTTGGATCAATTCACAACTTTTTCAACACATGGGTTTTTCACTTCTGCAACACGAAACACAGAAGAATTTTGATAAGGAATTCCAGTAACCACGTAAGGAACATCACTCCAATTATCCTGAATTTTATGACGTTTCCAGAAGTTACCATTTCTAAGATACACATTATCGCCAACAGAAATTTCTGAATTAGTGATACGCCTGTCATTGGATTCTTTTCTCATCTCTGCATTATGCTTGGTTTCTTGTAGTGCACGTTGATACGCAAACTGAATTTTTATGCACTCAGATCGAAAGATCCAAGGCATATATTGTTTTTGTCCTGTTTGTCTGTCTGTCTGTTTATCTGTTTATCTGCAAACTTTGTCTGTCTGTTTGTCTGTTTATCTGTTCATCTGCAAACTTTAATCTTAGCCATAACTTTTAAACCATGAATGATAGAGACTTCATATTTAGTATGCCCACTGCACTAATGAAGCTCTTTCAAATGACACCAAGATCAATGACCTTGTGACCTTGACTGTGACCTTTATGCTAAAAATAAAGGTTTTATTGCAAACTTTAACTTCTGCTATGACTTTTGAACCTTAAAAGATAGAGACTGAATATTTGGCATGCGTAGTCCACTAATGAAGCCCTTTCACACGACACCAAGGTCAATGACCTTGTGAACTTGACTTGTGTCTTATATGCTAAAATTAGCTTTTTTGAACCTTTATCATAACTTTTGAACAATTAAAGATAGAGACTTCATATTTGGTATGCATACTACACTAATCAAGATCTTTCAAATGACACCAAGATCAATGACCTTGTGACCTTCACTGTGACCTTTATGCTAAAAACATGCCTGGCCAATAGCACTGTTGTTTTACTAGGTTCACAGTTCTTTCTATACCTTGGTGTCCTGTATGGTCATGTAAATTTTCCATCACAATGTTTTTCATACACATTGGTAACACAATTTGTTTCAATTCACCTAACTTTGGGTCTGACACTTTCCTGTATAAGACTCCATCACACATAAATACACATTGAATCTGTTTCAGTAATAATCCAGTTATTTTGTCTTGTTGTTTAATAAACTTCACAGATAACACAGTTTTGTTGATCAAGTGTTGTTTTAATGTAGACAATTGTTTTGTCTTTGAACACAGAAGGCAGCTCTTCGATCCAATCATCAACTGGTACATTATTTCCATTGAACTTTTGAATTTTTCGATCTTTGAAATAAGGATTCACAAAGTGGGGAACATCACGTTTTAAATCACATTCCAGTAATTCCTTTTCAAGCTCATGAACACGTTTTTGTAACTCCCTCTTATTCATTTTGCTTATTTCACAATAAATATTTTTCAAAAGAATTAATTTGATATAAAAAAAAATCTGATCTAAAATAACACCTTTTAAACAATTAAACCCCTTTTCAGTCAAATGAAATGATAATTTAACTGTCCAAATTTGAGAAAAAAAATTAAAGTTCAAGTCATACACAGTTCATAGGTCAAGTCTGTGGTACACCACCAGCCATCTTGGATTTCCCCATCGTCTGTCATAGTTTGTCGTCGCCTTGAAACTGTGTCCCCCGTTGGCCTCCATAGTTTGTAGTCGTTCAGTCCTCGGAATTTACATGCTTTGCAATTGCCGTTTTAAGTGACTGTTCGCAGCGCCATATGTAACCAAGCAGTAACAAGACCAGGTCACGTTTAAATCTTTATTAACAGCAATAAACAGCAATGGCATATGCCTTTACGGAGAGCACGGCCTCGAGAAGTTGTGACCTTGAATGAAAACTGGCTGGCAGGACAAGTAATTTCAATCGAACATGAGTATTTATACCTAGACCTACTGCGCAAGTGGATTGAGTTGATTTTAAAATACGCCAGTCAGGAATGAGATAACAAAGAGTGTTCGACAAAAGCCTTTACAAAATGTTAGAAACCGTTCACGGTAGCTCAGTCGGTAGAGCGCTCGCTCCGTGATCGGGAGGTCCTGAGTTCGTATCTTGGCCGCGACTGACCTAGTCATTAAAATGGGTAGCAACTGTTCCTTCGCCATGCGCTCGGCACTTTGAAGTGAAAGTTGCGGGTCCTTCGGATGAGACCTTAAAAACCGAGGCCCCATGTCAGCGGCAGGCATTGGCACGATAAAGATCCCTCACTGCTCAATGGCCCTGAGTGCCGAGTAAAGGTCAAAATTTGAAGCCCTTCACCGGCATACGGTGACGTCTCCATATGAGTGAAAAATTCTCAAGAGGGACGTTAAACAATATACAATCAATCAATCAATCAAAATGTTAGAATCATACTGACTTAAATCAATAATCGAATAAGAAATTAGTTAATAAAAGTGAGTATGGTATTAGCCTAAATAAATACATGAATTAAAATATGTAATTACTTGGTCACAGTTAAATATAGGAAGCATATAAAAATAACTAATAAATCCTAAAAATTTAAGAAAATTAGAGGAAATTCGGATTAGCAAATATCCATTTTATTAGCTCACCTGAGCCGAAGGCTCAAGTGAGCTTTTCTGATCACATTTTGTCCGTCGTCCGTCCGTCTAGCTGTCTGTCTGTCTGTCCGTCTGTAACCTTTTCACATTTTCGACTTCTTCTCAAGAACCACTGGGCCAATTTTGACCAAACTTGGTACAAAGCATTCTTGGGTGAAGGGGAATTTAAATTGTTAAAATGAAGGGACATATCCCCTCGCAAGGGGAGATAATCAAGAAAAGACAAAAATAGGGTGGGGTCATTAAAAAATCTTCTTCTCAAGAACCACTGGGCCAGTAAAGCTGAAACTTATGTGACAGCATCCTGGGGTAGTGTAGATTCTTAATTGTTCAAATCATGACCCCCGGGGGAAGGGCGGGGCCACAATGGGGAATCCAAGTTTTATATAGAAAAATGTAGGAAAAATCTTTGAAAATCTTCTTCTCAAGAACCACTGGGCCAGAAAAGCTGAAACTTATGTGGAAGCATCCTGGTATAGTGTAGATTCTAAATTGTTCAAATTGTGACCCCCGGGGGAAAGGCGGGGCCACAATGGGGTATCAAAGTTTTACATAGAAATATATAGGAAAAATCTTTGAAAATCTTCTCAAAAACCACTGGGCCAGAAAAGCTGAAACTTATGTGGAAGCATCCTGGTATAGTGTAGATACTAAATTGTTCAAATTGTGACCCCCGGGGGAAGGGCGGGGCCACAATGGGGTATCAAAGTTTTACATAGAAATATATAGGAAAAATCTTTGAAAATTTTTCTTCTCAAGAACCACTGGGCCAGAAAAGCTGAAACTTATGTGGAAGCATCCTGGTATAGTGTAGATTCTAAATTGTTCAAATCGTGACCCCCAGGGGAAGGGCGGGGCCACAATGGGGTCTCAAAGTTTTACATAGAAATATATAGGAAAATCTTTGAAAATCTACTTCTCAGGAAACACTGGGCCAGAAAAGCTGAAACTGATGTAGTAGCATCCTGGTATAGTGTAGATTCTAAATTGTTCAAATAATGACCCCCGGGGGAAGGACGGGGCCACAATGGGGATTCAAAGTTTTATATAGAAATAAATAGGAAAAATCTGAAAATCTTCTTCTCAAGAACCACTGGGCCAGAAAAGCTGAAACTTATGTGGAAGCATCCTGGTATAGTGTAGATTCTAAATTGTTCAAATAATGACCCCCGGGGGAAGGGTGGGGCCATTATAGGGAATCAAAGTTTTACATAGAAATATATAGGAAAATCTTTGAAAATCTTCTTCTCAGGAACCACTGGGCCAAAAAAGCTGAAACATATGTGCCCATGGAAGGATCATGGGGTAGTGTAGATTTTAAAATGTCTAAATTATGATCAGTGGGGTAGGGTGGGGATGCATTATGTATAACAAGGGGGAAATCTGGTAAAGAACAGAATGGTCAAAGCTTCTCAGGTGAGCGATGTGGCCCATGGGCCTCTTGTTTAAATTATCCATGTCAATTTGGTAATATCATCTTAGAGGCCCTATATAGTAGTATCTTTTTATGCAAAAAAAAAATTCAATCTTTTGAATTTAAAGTAGGAATCGCATGATTGGAAACGGTATTTTTTTATTCTTAATGTTCAGGAAAAGGGTAATGACTTTGACCTGACCTTGCCTCTAATATTACACGGTCAAATTTAATCTAACTGATACCATCACTTAGTAATATTGTTCTCTAGATCTAGATTCTGTGAAAATTTCATTAAATTTTAAATACAAGAAATGTGAGAAGAATCCTACCTTAAATTTATTCAATGTCCTCTTCAAAGGGGAAATGATTACGAATTAGTGAAAAATTATTGGTATCTTTTTAAAATCTTCTAAAGGAACACTGGACCAGGTAAGATTAAACTTATATGGAAACATTCTCAGGTAGTGAAGACTCAAGTTTGTTAAAAAAATCATAATCCCTAGGGTAGGGTGAAGCCTGTAAATTCAGGTTTGTTCAAATCATGACCCCCAGGGGTAGGGTAAGGCCAAAATGGATGATCAAAGTTTTATATAGAAATACATTGGAAAAATCTTCTTCTCCAGAACCACTGGACTAAGAAAGATAAAATGTTGAAATATCTTCAGGTACTGTAGATTCAAGATTGTTAAAATCATGATCCCAGGGGTAGGGTGGGCCACAATGGAAAAAAAAGATTTACATAAGCTTATTCTATCACTTTATTTTACTCGTATACTCTATGGATCTTCTATGGATTGTTGTTTTATTCTCAGATGACCATTAAGGCCCTTGGGCCTCTTGTAATTTACAGCTCTTTTAATTAATTCTCATTGAAAAAAAATTATTTAAATTTTCTTTGCAGGTGACTGTTACGCATTTACAGTCAAATGTAGTCAGCTGGGAAACAATTCAAACTACCACCAGATCGGGATCACTTAAGCATGTGGAGAAACCGGTTCTTCACTACAGTCGACGATATGATTTTTTGAATAAATCGGATCGACAAGAATTGTTTAAGGTTATCCTTCATATGAAATTAATGCATTCTGTTCATGAAAAAGTAGCAGGGCAGAGAAAAATGAAGGGGACAACTAACCTCTAAAAACAAATATTGAAAAATCACCATCAATAATGCTTTAATGCTGCAATGTTTTGTTAAAACTTTCATATTTTGCCTACTATAAAGACTATAATCAGAAATAATTACAAAATATGAAACTTATGTGAAATCATCCTCAGATAGTTTGGATTCATTACCCCCTGGGGTTGGGTGGGACCATAATGGGTGATCAAAGTTTTATATAAAAGGAATACATAAGGAAAATCTTCAAAAACCTTCTCAAAAACAGCAAAGCCATGTTTTAGTCATATTTATTTGGAAGCACCCCCAGTTACAATGTAATGTAGATCCAATTTTGTACAAATCATGTATGGGATGGGGTGGGGGCAGAGTGGGCAAGCAATGTTTATGCAGGAATACATAAGGAAAATCTTCTCAAGAAAAGCAAAGCTATCATGATTGGTCATATCCTCAGGTAGTGTAAATTCAAGTCTCTTCACATCATGACCCCCGGGGTAGGGTAGGGCCACAATAGGCAATCAAAGTTTTACATTGGGATACATAGAAAAATCTCTAAAAATCTTCTTCTCAAGAACAGCAAAGACATTTATTTTTACATTTTAACTTTTCAATAGTGTATTGATTTCTGCTTTTTCCTAGCAAAAGTGCTCAGGGGAGCAATGTAGCCTATGGGCCTCTTATTTGACTGTGTAAATATTTAGTAAAGATGTGTTGTTTTGACCAAAAAAATCAAGTTTTTAAAGCATTAAAAAATACATGTTTGTCAGGATAACTTGTGGTACATAAAATTTATATACATTGTATAAAGAAATTATGAATTAAGAAAATACTTTCTGAATGATTTAAATATTACATAAATATTATTAATTTATTGCCTACCTTCTATATTTTTGTCACATTAATTGAATTGTACAGATGATGTATATAATCAGGTCCACAATTTCTCGAATTTATATATGTAAATATTTATAATATGAATAATTTCAATTTTTAACACAATGTGAATAATAACAAGGCAGATTCTAAAGTCAATGAATTAAATTATGTTTAATTGGTGTAATACATGACATCTTAAAAGTAAAAAAGTGTTTTTATTTTTTTATTACCATTCGTCATCTATTATAAATCGAAATCTTAAGAAACCGTAACATTATATTTACATACTAGTACTTTCTGTTTTCTCCAACTATGCACCTGCCATCAAAAGTTTCATTCATAATACAGAAATAAATTCATTGATTTTTTGAAACTATGACGCTTCATGCCGCCATATTTTATGAAGCGCGATAAATATGCTGGCGAGAAGCTTTGTAGTTCATGTATATCATGAATTTTCAAAAAATAAATTCATATCTGATATTAACTAGATTTTCTGATGATTTTCAACGGTATTCTATTGAATTGTATAGGAAAAACGTCGTCTTTGGTTTGTTTTCAGGCAAGGTTTTGATTTTAAAAAATATCAATAATTTTTTTTATCGTGCAGACGAATTTCTTTATCCTTTGGTATTTAAAAATAGAATTGATTTGAAATAAATATATGTGAAAAAATAAATTTGTCTTCGGGTTCATTTTTAGCTCACCTCAACGAAGTTGGGTGGAGCTTATGCTGACGGTGTTGGCGTCCCAGGTTAAGGTTAAGTTTTTTGGGGCAGTTTTCTTTTTAAGTACTTCTATGTCGTGAAGATGCTTCTAGTGTCTTTCATAGACGACTTTCACATTTACAAAAGTTATTCCCCTTTGCAGGGTCAATCCGGGGTCAACAGGCGTAAGACGCTGTTTTCCCTCTATAACCTTACCAACTTGATGGGTCAGTATCCTAGAAATAAAATCTATAGGAATAAGCTCATTATGTTTTTCATGTTGCCCCATACTCTGGCAATACAGGTACAGATCGAAATTGTCATATAACGTTTGAATTTTAAAAATGTTAACAGGTAACTTAGAAAGGACAACGTGGGAAAAATGAGCGTTACGCCGACAACGGGAGATAACTCTTAGGAATGTGAAATTCGTCTATTGTACTAGTCCTAGATTCAGATGCTGCAGTTTAAACAAAGAAATGACCAGATTTTTGGAGCAGGTTAACATTTTTGGTGCAGTATTTGGTGAAGGTTTCATTTCCAAGTAACTATAAGCCCTATGTCGACCAAACTTGCATGGATGATACATCTAAGGATGCATACTACGGGGCTTGCTTCGGATGCTGAATCTGACCTACATTTTCCGGTTGAGTGAACAGGTTAAAGTTTTTGGTGCAGGTTTCATTTCCAAGTAACTATGAGTTCTTTAATGACCAATCTTGCACATAGGGGCTTGTCTTCCAGATTGATAAATGTAAAATAATTTTTTTAGCTCACCTGAGCCGAAGGCTCAAGTGAGCTTTTCTGATCACATTTTGTCCATCGTCCGTCCGTCTGTCTGTCCGTCCGTCCGTCTGTAAACTTTTCACATTTTCGACTTCTTCTCAAGAACCAATGTGCCAATTTTAACCAAACTTGGTACAAAGCATGCTTGGGTTAAGGGGAGTTTAAATTGTTAAAATGAAGGGCCAAGTCCCCTTACAAGGGGAGATAATCAAGAAAAGACAAAAATAGGGTGGGGTCACTAAAAAATCTTCTTCTCAAGAACCACTGGGCCAGGAAAGCTGAAACTAATGTGGAAGCATCCTTGGGTAGTGTAGATATTAAATTGTCAAAATAGTGACCCCTGGGGGTAGGGTGGGGCCACAATAGGGAATCCAAGTTTTACATAGAAATATATAGAACAGATCTTTAAAAAAAATCTTCTCAAGAACCACTGGGCCAGGAAAGCTGAAACTTATGTGGAAGCATCCTCGGGTAGTGTAGATTCTAAAGTTTTAAAATAAAAAAGGAAAGGGGGTTGTTGGGCATGATAGGTATAGCAAGAGGGGGAATCTGGTAAAGATCTGCATAACCCAAGTTACTCAGGTGAGCGATGTGGCCCATGGGCCTCTTGTTTTAAATTTGTATCTACATTAAATACACTCTAAAAGTTGCTTTTATAAAGATTCTGACATGATCAGGCGAGAAAAATAATGTTTTTAAAAAAGTACTAGGGCCTACACTTATATATTAACATCCACTGAATATTTTCTCCTTTATTTCTTAAGAAAACCCATTGCGTTAATCACTGCATGAACTACAGTAGGCATGTCGCTTGTACAGATTTCTTGATCAGTGGCTGTTCCATCAATGAAACGTATAAAGACGTTGGCATCATTAATACAATAATTAATCTTTTTAATCCTACTTTAAATGATTATTAAAACAGATATAAATATAAACAATAAAATGTCTTTCTTTGTTATTACTGGAATTAACGGTCGCAGCTATTGCAGAAAAAATTTACATAACCCGCTTCCGCGGGTTATGTATTTTTCTGCAACAGCTGCTTCCGTTACTTCCAGTAATAACAAACAACGAAAGCATTTTATTGTTTAAATACATAAACTCTCAAAGGGACGCAAGCTGACATCTTGGAAAAAATACCCCCTCCCACTTCAGCACCTATTTCTGGACTCTAAGGCATTAATTTATTTCGTTGCCACAGTTCTCTTCCCTACAGTGATGATTTTCCTAAATGTTGATGCGGATGTCAGTCGTGAACACGCATTTAAACAACAAAAAACGAATACAATTTCTTCGATTTGGAGCTCATCTCGCTGAATCGACTCAAAAGAACGTAAGTTAACAAAATTGCAAGGGCAGATGATTATTGTATACGGAAAACTCAGAGGGTAATCGAAAGCAAATGGTAACACCAAAGAACTTCCAGTTTCGCGGAAAAAATGTTTACCGACAAGAAAAAGACAGTGAAAACTGATAAATACGGGCTAAAGTTTGGTTTCACAAGCTAAACTGTCAAGACTTGTTTAATATATAAGTAATTTGTTACATAATTTACAGGACACTTGCTCTAAAAGCGCGCTATATGCAATTCCACGATTATAGCCATTGCGTCGTTACCAGGCAACCATGTCAACTTCCGTTCTTTTTGGGTCGATTCAGCGAGATGAGCTCCAAATCGAAGAAATTATATTCGTTTTCTGTTGATTAAACGCGTGTTCACGACGGACAGCCGCATCAACATTTAGGAAAATCATCACTGTAGGGAAGAGAACTGTGGCAACGAAATAAATTAATGCTTTAGAGTCCTGAGATAGGTGCTGAAGTGGGAGGGGGTATTTTTTCCAAGATGTCAGCTTGCGTCCCTTATGAGAGTTTATGTATATAGGTGTAGTACTTTTTTTTAACATTATTTTTCTCGCCTGATTATGTCAGAATCTTTATTAAAGCAACTTTTAGAGTGAATTTAATGTAAATACAAATTTTAAAAAAAATTATTTTACATTTATCAATCCGGAAGACAAGCCCCTATGATCTTGCATGGATGATACATCTAAGGATGCACACTACCGGGCTTGCTTCGGATGCTGAATCTGACCTACATTTTCTGGTTGAGTGAACAGGTTAAAGTTTTTGGTGCAGGTTTCATTTTCAAGTAACTATGAGTTCTTTAATGACCAATCTTACATGGATGATACATCTAAGGATGGATACTACCAGGCTTGCTTCGGATGCTGAATCTGACCTACAATTTCCGGTTGAGTGAACAGGTTTTAAGTTTTTGGTGCAGGTTTCATTTCTAAGTAACTATGAGCCCTATAATGAGCAAACTTGCATTGATGAGACATCTAAGGATGCATACTACCAGGCTTGCTTCGGATGCTGAATCTGACCTACATTTTCTGGTTGAGTGAACAGGTTATAGTTTTTGTGCAGGTTTCATTTGCAAGTAACTTTAAGCCTTATGTTGACCAAACTTGCATGGATGATACATATAATGATGCACACTACCATTGCTTCGGATGCTGAATCTGGCCTGCATTTTCTGGTTGAGTGAACAGGTTAAAGTTTTTGGTGCAGGTTTCATTTTCAAATAACTATGAGTTCTTTAATGACCAATCTTACATGGATGATACATCTAAGGATAGATACTACCAGGCTTGCTTCGGATGCTGAATCTGACCTACATTTTCCGGTTGAGTAAACAGGTCTAAAGTTTTTGGTGCATGTTTCATTTCCAAGTAACTATAAGTCATATGTTGACCAAACTTGCATGGATGAGACATCTAAGGATGCATACTACCAGGCTTGCTTCGGATGCTGAATCTGACCTACATTTTCTGGTTGAGTGAACAGGTTAAAGTTTTTGATGCAGGTTTTATTTCCAAGTAACTATAAGCCGTATATTGACCAAACTTGCATGGATGATACATCTAAGGATGCACACTACCGGGCTTGCTTCGGATGCTGAATCTGACCTACATTTTCTGGTTGAGTGAACAGGTTAAAGTTTTTGGTGCAGGTTTCATTTTCAAGGAACTATGAGTTCTTTAATGACCAATCTTGCATGGATGATACATCTAAGGATGCATACTACCAGGCTTGCTTCGGATGCTGAATCTGACCTCCTTTTTGTGGATGAATGAAAATGTTTTTGATGCATGTTTCATTTCCAATTAACTATGAGCCGTATAATGAGCAAACTTGCATGGACGATACATCTTAGGATGCACACTAATGGACTTGCTTCGGATGCTGAATTCAACATACATTTTTCAGATAATAGACCAGATAAAAGTTATGGATTTTGATTACATTTTCATGAAGAAGAACTAGATTAATTTTTTATGTATGTCGATTTCAAAGTATCAGATCAAAATATAAATAAAACAGCTGTTTAATGACAATTTGAGCCGAAATCCGTGCGGGAGTGAATCGCTGCCACATTGCATCATTACGGAGATTATAAGAAGATGTAGCCCTCCCCCCCCCCCCCCAAAAAAAAAAGGGGAGAGGGAATTGAAAGCAAATATAGATCTAGACGTGAATTTTCTTTTTCCTAAAGTCATTTTTTTTATGCTCTGTATACCGGATCGCTATTCACGACGTCAAGCGTGACGTCGCGATATTTTATGACGTTGTTCTTAAAAATGCTATCTTACCTCGACTTCAAAAATGTAGTTATCCCAGACATACATCTATCCAAAAATATACAGAACAATCTATATATCCGTATTTTTCGTGTATGTCAACATCAGAACTTAAATTTATCCGCCATGTTTACTGACCTTGACTGATTTTATTTTGGGATAGCCAATGAGATTAAGGATCTAAAGGGAGTGGATTTCTTTTGAATTACCTTATTTAAAAGAGGCTGGGGTGGCAGCCATTTTTAGACTATTTCAATCTCCTTTAAAAGGATAGCTCCATATAAAGATATACAAAAATGATCAACTTTTAAAACTAAAATGTATGAATTTTTTCTTTGTCAAATGATAGTTGACAGCTAAAGATACCGTATCTAAAAAAAATAAGTTATTTAAATCTGGTGGTTAATTTGGGATTAATTTGTTGACCCACCAGCCTCCTTCAAGTTGGACAAAATAGATAAGCTTAATTTTTCCCTCAAATTCATTTTTTCTGAAACTTTGATATTTTTGTTCTAGGATGCAAAATCTCTCTTTAT